TACACTACTATGTGTGTCTTCTCACTTCGTTCTCCATAATCATGATTTTTTTGTTTTATTCCCTTAGGGCCTTCAACCGGACCGTGTTATCGCAAGAAGATGCCATGGCTGTCATGCGCCTTGTGGCATTGTTTTCAGCTCTGTAAACATTTCAAAGCCGCGGCAGGCTCCATCTATTATCTGTGAGTCTTTGACTACCCCTCCTTTTGGTTCTTTGATTCATGGTCATAGTTCATATTTTGTGAGGTGTAATAATCACTGGCGAATAGTGTCGCTCAGTACTGGATGCTCTGACCATTACCTTCAATCTTGGCAATGGAATCTATGCAGTGGTAGTAGATTGTGAGATTGAGTTTCAATTCGGTCGTAATAGAAAGACGTGGTGAATGGATCTATTCCATCAAGGTACTACCCCTGTACAACGCATTGGCATAGCTAATAAATCTACATTGAAGCTAATGCCACCATGATATCGAGGAGTGCTTTCTGTGCTAATCCACTCTCATTTAAGTTGCATTATATATCACTGAAATTCTAAAGAATTTGTCCGCTATTTTCTCCTTTTAGGCAAGCAATTTGGCCTCTTATCGATCAACAAGGCAGCGAAGGGGACCGTCAGGCAGAAGTGGGTTCGCATGTCAGGGGATCATGCTTCAGCGAACAGTAGTTTCATTATTCAAAAGGGAACCCCTCTTCCCAATAACGGGACGTGCAGACATTATCGTAAGAGCTTCCGTTGGCTCAGGTACTTTTGATAATTAGAATTATTTTTGAAGCAAAATAATGTGAAAGAGTTCGTAGTGGCACGGTAGGTCTATGAAACCTTCGCAAACTCACTCATTCACAGCATTTGCCTTTCTTCTGCGGTGACCCACCCCATCATTTTGGCACAAAAGTTCTTTGAAGCACCGAAGATGCACATTTTTGAATGTAGACCTATAGCAAATCCGGGAGAGTGGTACGATGGCTCTACACCATAATCCCAGAGGCCGATTCACCGAAGTGATGGGGTTACGGAAGCAATAGAAAGAATTGTCTCCTTTGAACCTGTTTTGAGTATCTTTCCTCTAAAACTAAAACCTGTTTAATAAAGTAGATTGTATAAAGTGGAGCCTTGGAGATACATTCCGCGTCCTTTGTCACTTTAAAGGTGCTCATTCGCTTACCTGGTTTTTTCAGACCTCTGTAGCATAGGAAGGTGTCGTCTATCTTAGTCATTTTCAAATCGGTAGTTTCGGGTCCTGCTTCAGCAGTGAATACGATGCAGAACCATGGATTCCGTTTTTCCTTCCTTTGTCGGGTATTCATATTACATGGATTTAAAAAGTCCATAAGAGATTCATTTAGACTCAGGTTTTCTGCGAAACCTCAGCTAAAACGACCGCATTTTTCCCAATGGGTAAGAGTTTCGGCCATGTCTGTCGGTGTCTTCCACGAGCTACTTCTGAAAACCGTTACTAGATGCAAGGGTCTGGTCGAATCCTTATTGTCAACACGAATAAAAGTTGGAGCGTTGGTAGTACAGATGCCTTATTTTCCAAAATTTCATCTTCAGGTTTCCTTGTTGTCAACGCGCTTTCCCTTGCGACAATTGTCATGATGAGGAGGTGGCAGGAGCTCACGAAACCCTACACGCCACGCGAATCATCTGTGGCTTCTGCTCCACCGAGCAGCCGGAGGTGACCACCTCGCCAATGGTCGTCTGTTCGGCCTGTCAGCGCAACTTGACCTCGGCAGGTGCGACCAATCATTGGGAGGGTGGACGCGGCTGTAGAGATCCTGTGAAGATGTCGCGCAAGGACAATCGAAAACATCGCATCAGACGTTGATGTCAGATAAATTTATAGTAGTGGGGGTTGTAGAAGTAAAACGTGGTGTTTGTAACGCATGCAATTGCTAGGTTTTTGAGTGCAGTCCCTGGGCCTGTGTTCGTGATGGCGCGCCGGGGTTGCCTAGCTTTTTGTGTGGTCGGAGGTCGGGGTGGGGTCTGGGGTCGTTTCTGCCTGAGTGTTGGTAGTTTGGTCGGTTCATATGCGTGGGGAGGGCGGGAGATGTCGGGGAGTACACGGGCATGCGGGTGGCGCAGCAGCAGCATGATAGCGTTTGAGGCCGTTAAGGTCCGGTTGAGTATATCCGACTAGATGAAATTTTGCTCTATTGTAAAGCCGTTGGTGGTCATTTCTGTCCCTTGATTAATTTAGACCAAATCGTCTAATAATCCGATATAAAAAGAATTGTAAAACTTCATAATTTAGCATATAAAGCAGCAAAAATCATCCGAAATGAATTGAAAACCTGATAATGAACTTATATTGTGCACCTAAGAATAATTAAGCCAATTACAATCTTGAGTTACTTTGTTTGAATTCACAACGTCAAGAAATTTACTGAGGAGGGCCCCTTGGTTCTTCCTTTCGGGTGATGGTAGGTGGTTGCTTCTGCTTCATGTGTGCTGTTTTAGTTTACGCACATTTTCTGGCGTTTTTAGTACGAACACGAGACTAAGTGTTTCCCTGGTTTTATGCCAGTTTTACCGTTATCACCCACTCTATATAAAATTGGCCACATAATATGTTTCTATTTTTTGAAACATTTAAGGACATCTTCTTGGCCGTTCGTCGCAAGAAGACGACCATTTTTCTTAGTTTAAAAGAAAATGCAGAGGTTCTGGAAGTCAAACAGATGATTGAGGGGATTTTAAAGGTGCCTCCAGAAGACCAGGTGCTGTTGTACGGTTCTACCGCTATGTACGACCACAAATCCCTATCATATTACGGACTTACTGATCTGACTGCTCGCGCTCACAATCCTGCTGTTCTTGGACTATGCCTTCGTGATTCTGGTAAGGCTTTGCGGATTGTGCCGCTTTGTTCTTGTATTTTATTGGCTGTTCGAAGTTTTGCTTTTGTGTGATTTAAAGAAAATCTTACCTTAGGCTAATTTAGTTAGCCTATTTTGTTTACATGGGACAGAAAGCGGTCAGTTTGAGCCTCTGGATATAACACCATACTCGAAGCCTCCAGAATTGCCAGAAGTAATGCGTTGTCAAGAGAACCAGCCTCCAAGAAATGCGTCTGCAGCCGGCGTCTCAGCCACTAACGCCACTACTCCGGCAGCTTCCGCAAATCAAGCCGAGACGGCTGCAGTCTCGAGACCTTAGTGTGTAGATTTCTCATTTTCTTCCCTTCCTTATCTTCCTCTATTTCCCCAACATTTGTTCCTTTCGTTCCTCACTTCCTCTTCGCAATCTACGTTTTTCCCGGTTTCTTTCTGTCCACCCATGCACATAACTTTCTATGCGTTGGAGAGTGAGTGAAGTGTAACTGCTCCTATTCCCATCTGTCCTCGTTTTGTATCATCATAATTCTCTTTCGCTCTCTTTTCTCTTCATCTCTTTTTTGTCATTCAAAGGTAAAATTCACATTCGCTCTCATATACTTCCAAGCTTCGCGACTGAATTTGGCTTCTTTCGCAGGGTGTTGAGCTTAATTGATTTGGGTATGAAAATTTCGTGACATCTGGACCATGTGATTATTCGCGCAGCCTATGATTCTTTACTGTAATGGTTGACTAATTTTACTTAAATTCAAAAGTAGCAAGTCTTCTTAAATATTTCTCGGTCTGGTCTCGTGGATGCGCCGATCCGGGGTGCTCCTGGTGTCAGCCGATGTGGCATGTGGCTAAGAGTACATGTGTAGTGCCCTCCTAAGGCATTTAAAGGGGTATTCAAGTTTAGTGGTAACTGTCAGGCGCATCTTTGAGATCCATCAGAAAAATAAGATATCGGGAGGTGTAGGTGCTTTGCCGGCCATGGGTTGTTGACAGCCATTCCAACTACATCAGGGTCTGGTTGTTTTCGCCATGGTCGCAACAGCCAGCAAAGTCTTCGACCTATGCAAATCTGTGCTTTGGAGTCTCCTGCTGTCATACAGTAGGGGTCAAACCAAGAAAGCTGCCCTACAAGAATATTGAAATTTCCGACCATTTACCTCTGAATTGAGCTGGCTTTGTGAGAAGGACATGGCCTTAAGTGGGACGCAGCTAAGGCTTTTGCCTATCACATCTTTCGAGCCAGGTTTTCGCAGCTATCAATGCTGTTTAGATCTAGACTACCGTGCCCACTCAAAATCAAGTGAGGCGGCATGACATGATTGCCATCGGACAGAGCTATGGAGCTCGATGAAAAAAGGAGACTTCAAACTCGTCGGTTACATCTACCAAGCGTTTATTGTCATTTCTCCTTCAAAACTGAATGCGATGGGTCAATTCCTAGAAAAAAGATATGCTGCTTAAATTTATCCCGTTTCGAAAGAAGCTTGACCCACCCTTCACATAAAAAATTGTTCTTTACACCGATTTTTAAAATGTCTAGAATAATTAGCTAATGAAGTTCAGTTTTACTTTTGAAAAATGGATTTCTGCAATTCAAAATAAGTCTAGTTATTTCTAACCGAAGAATGATATAAAATGTAGACTTATATGAAATAATTAATTTACAGACCTTCGTGGGGATGTTGTCAGAATGCGGCAATGCGGATGCATGCACCCAACACAGCGATCTTTAACTTGCTGAAAAGAGTAAACTCAAGCTGCTGGAATTAATAGACTTGCATCGCTGCAAAAGGTAATAAATTGAGCTATTTAAACCACGAAAAAAAGCAAATCCACAGATATGTCAGAGAAATAGGACGCAAATGAAGCACACCTGACAAGTGATTTGGAAAGCAATCTTTGATTAGATGCAGTAATGTGACTAGCTAATCTACGAACTAGCTTAATCTTCTAATATTCTACTAGGAAATGAAGGTGGGAAAACATAAACGTCGACCAAAAATAAAGTCAGCTATTGGGGTTACGAGTGTATAAAATTATGGGGGAAGCTAGGCCCCTGTAGTAGGTAAACAACCTTCAATAAAGTTATTCCTTACAGAAAATGGACGCAAAACGTCCGGAAAGTAGCCAAGCATTAAGTGTGGATTACCTCATTGGCTAAGTCGCAAACTAACACACATTAGCAATGTTTCTCCTGTTTTTCGGAAAATACTGATAAAACAATCTTTATAAAAGGGGAGCCTCATGGACTATTTAAAATACAAAATAAGCTTGAATATTGCACTGTAAGGTGAATAAATACGAATCACCATGACCAATCCATTTATAAAACCGGTCTTTTCATTGGTCTATTAACTACGCAGCTACTTTCAAGAAGTAATGGCAACATCAAACCCAAACAAAACGTTGATAGGCCGCAACAAAAAACATGACAATTAAATTGTCGCATTATCATCACGAGAAGCATACTTTAACGAAGGGGACCGCATTCGTGAGTTTGCATTCAAACAATTCAGCCGCAATTGCAAAACGCTCATCCCAATGGAGCAGGGACTAGGGGACGAGTGTCAATCATGATGCGGTTCCTGGGGCAGTACGAGGAGACAAATCAATAAACGGGATAGGAGGAGGCCTTCCTTCTCCAACTTAGTGCTTTTGAGCCTACGGTGAAATTTGAGCTTATCTTTTAGATAAAGTCCAAAGCTGCCACTGCCATACATC